GCAAACCAAATTATCAGAACTTATTCATTCATCACAGGGAGTGAATTGCGGTGTATTTTGAAGAAACTCTTGACTTGATAAATAAAATTTTAATTTCAAAAAAAAAAAAGAGAAGAAAAGAAAAATGAAAACACTTAAACATTAATAACACATGATGTTCAACAATATTATAGCCTGGTTCGGATAAATTGAGATTCTACCACAATCTTAATTGGTTATCTCGCGTCAAGCTTTTCGTAATAATGCTAGCAAGTATTTCATAATTGGGCGACAAAGCATTACACTGAAGTTACAAGCCTTTTGAAAGAAAGGGGGATCGATTTGGATCATAATCGATTTTCTAATTTTGCAGGTTCCTTTTTTATTTATTAATTAATTTTATGTTTTTCATCATGAGGTTATGATTTAATGTATTAACAAAATTTTATGCTTAATTTAATGATTAGGGAGATGATGAATTAATATCACAGATGAATGGACTTTTAGAATATATTGAAGACATTATCGGAACTTCTATATAAAGTCTCTCTTGAAGAAGCAAATGAAAAGGGTAAAACATTGGATGAAGAACGGTCAGAAAATTAAATCGTGTTAAAATAGTTGAAAAGGAGAAACAAAGTTTAGAGGTAACATATTATTAGTAAATCGCGTTTGTAATCATATTATATAACAATGATGATTCGAACCTTATTGAATTGAAAGGTCAAGAATAAAAGAAGCAGAAGATTTTCTCTGAGATGAAAGCACGTTAACTTCGCCATTTATCAATAAAAAATTGCTAGGGTGTAAGATTAATACTGAAATATCAACTAGGCTGTGGTAAGTCATTAGATTTAATAACTTATTCAGACAAGTTAATTTAATATGGCAATTAATTATTTATTAATCCTTAGAATAAATTAAAAGATCAACAAAGAGAAGAAGGAGAAAAGCATGTTCAAATAATAAAGATCTTGAAAATAAATACAGAGATTTCTGTTAATGCCTTCCAGGTAAAATAATTATAATAATTTACAAATAAATAAACTTTCATTAATTTGATAATTGTGCTTATTTTAATAAGCAACTTGAAAAAAGAAACAAATGAAATTCTAGCAGAATTGGCAAATTATGTGAAAGAAGTTATTAACCTGAAGAAAGAACGAAACACGCCAATTTCTAACATAAGAAAGTGACAATGGCAATTTCTATAGTAGATATTATTTGTCTATGTTATTTTGATGCACAGATATATTCGAGAAATACAATAAGATTTTTATTATAAGATCGTCATGGACTTTCGGAAGCGAAAACAGCATTACGATTTAATGAAAGGATTTGAATAATCGAATGGGGGCTTGGAAATATCTTTAGAGCCCAAGAAAGTGAACTTGAAAAAAATCAGGGAAAGCTTAACTGGTATGTGAATCGATTATTTTAATCTAATTTGGTAAATACCTTTTTTATATTGTAATTGAATTTAAATTTAAATAAAGGCAAGTCAGAAGTTTATTCAAACCAAATTGAAGAAAAGAAAAGAGAGCTTGCACCTTGGTTAGAGAAAATCAATGCAAGGCAATCTTATTGATGTTAACCAATCTGTTTAAAAGAGAAATTTGATTCAATAGAACAAGATCTTAAACAAGCAGAAGATGCTGTCACAATTAGAGATGAAGGTATCGTTATAAGGTATCATTGCTTTTTTGTGATGATTTAATTATAATTGAACTGCTTTTTAAATCTCATCTAAAAAGAATCAAATCAAAGACATGAAACTAGTAATTCAACAATTGGACACTGATTTGAAGGTTATTATTTAACATTTAAATTAATAAATTTAGTATTTTAAGATTCTCATAAATATCTTTATTACTTTTAGCATTACCTTAATCAGCAAGAACTTTCCAAGTCTAGTCTTGCCGATCTCGACAAAGAGAAGATGAGGCGAAAAGACTTTTAAATTCTTCTCAGTCTAGAGGACAAATTCTTAGCAGCTAGTGGTCAACGGAGCGGAACGTTCTATAATTTGTTTTGCTGAAAATCTTATTTATTTAATTCTTTAAATTAGGATCGTTTGGGTAACCTTGGTATCATTGATGATAAATACGATGTCGCGATTTCAACTGCCTGTCCTGCATTGAACAACATCGTAGTTGATTCTATTGAAGTTGGACAAACTTGTATAGAAATAAATACCTTAAAAGAATTGATTTAGGTTGCGTCACTTTCATTCTTTCGAATGAACTGCCTACCATGGACATGCACCCGATACAAACACCTGAAAATGTTCCCCGTCTTTTTGATCTTATTAAGCCGAAAGATGACCAGCATTTATAGTGTTACAAAACACTTTGGTTGCCCAAAATCTACAACAAGCGAATAGGTTCACATCTAATAGTACTCGATGGCGTAGTGACGTTAAGTGGTCAAATGATTGATAAACCTGGCACTATAAGCGGCGGAGGTAACCAAACGTTAAAGATGCTATGAGTTCAAAATTTTAATCGGACATAACATCCGAGACAATAGGAAGTTGGAAAAAGACCGTAGCCACTTTGAAATGCAGTAGAGAATTAAATGAAGAAATTAGATCTTTAGAACCACAATTTCAAGAGAAAAAGAATGAACTTTCTTAATTAGAGTTTGGGCTATCGAAGTTAAAATGGGAAATAGGCGCGAGTGCTTGCGCAAACCGTATTCTCTACTGAAAAAAGAGTAGCCGAGTTACGGTATGCATAACAGTATTTTACTAATAAATTCTTGTTAAGGGTTAATAGTAATCATTTTTTTTATTTTTTTTTTTTTTCTATAAGGCAAAAAAAAAATATCCAAGTAAAGATGATACTAGGCGTATGGGACAAATTGATCATCTAACACAAGAGTTAGATAGATTGAAAGACAATCTCTAAAATTGAAGAGAAGATTAAGATTTTGTAATTATCAAAAATCAAGAAAAGAAAAATATTTATTTATAATATATTATCTTGCAAATAACTATCTTTAGCTTACAATTCAGCTAAAAAAAGTAGATTTTTGTAATTATATGAAATATATTATAAAGTCAGTTTATAATTTTTTTCTAATTCTAGTAAAAGATTAGATATTTTATATAAATATCAAGAAATATTAAAATATTCAATTTTGAAAATTAAATAAATTTATAAAGTTAAATGGTTTTTTAGATATAAAGCTGTTAAATTTTTATTTTTTAATTAATTTTTTAATAAATACATTATTAGAAACAATAATTATAATTTTTAAAAACAAATTTTATATAAATTAAAGACTTAGCTGGTTTAAATTAAAAAATCAAATTTTAATAATATTTGAAAAAAAATAAATTTTTCAAAAATGTTCTTTATAATATAAAATTAAATTTTACAAGCATATAATTGGAGACATTAGCTTTTTTTTCTTTTATTATTATTAAATGAATATTATATTTCATATATTTAATAAGAATAATAAATAAAAAATACAAAAGATTTTAAAGTAATAAGCAATAAAAAAAGTGAATTTTATATTCTTTTTACTATTATTATAGATCAAATCTTTATTTTCTAAAAGATTAGCCTATAGAATATGGTTATTACAAAATCTTAAAATTATTTGATCAGGTCTAAATCCTAGCTTTTGTTAATTATATCTTTATATACAAAATTTGTAATTTAAAATTTCTTACTTTTTAAATTTTTTATTGATTTTTTTTTAATTTTAAATAGGATTTTTCAACAAAAAAGTATCTAATATAAATCCTATTATTGAATTAACTCTTAGAAGAATTTAAAAAAATTTTTTGAATTATGATAATAATAAAAAATTATCATTTAGAAAAAATTTAAATAAATTTTATTAAATATAATAAAAGAAAATAATTGTAATATTGCCATATATCAATTAATTTGAAATAAGTATTATAAAGTAAATTTTATTTTATTTATATAAATAATTATTTTAGAAATTCAAGAAAGATTTTCTAATAGACTTTTAATCAATTTAATAAAAATATTTAATCATATAAATTAGTTAAATAGTAAATAAGAACTTATAAAATATAGCAAAAAAAAAAAATTAAATATTTTATCAAAATTTTATAAAAAAAAATTTTATTTATAAAAAGTGATTTAAATATAAGTAATAGTATATTTAAAATTTAAAATATAAAAATTAAAATATTATTTCTAATATTATTTAAATTTTATTATAATACTTTTCAAATATTATTAAATTAAGAATTATATATTTTGTTTTATTTTTATCAGTAAATTGTAAATATAGATTTTTAAAGCAAAATTTAATAAAAACTAATTAAGAAATTCTTTAAATAATGAAACATCATATTTTTAAATAATGGTTGATTTATAAGAAAAAGATTTATCTAAATTGATTTTTAGTAAATCATCATAAATTTGAAATAATGTATGTAAAAGAAGAATTTATTGGCTAGTAAAATAATTTTATTATAAATAATTTGGCTGATAAAATAATTTTTTTCTATATTTTAACTAGTAAAACAAATTTATTTTTAAATTCTTGACCAATTTAATTTTTTTTTAAATACTATACTAAATCTAGATTTAATTTAATTTATATTACTATATAAAACTTAAAATTTTTGATATTTTATACTTTTTTTATTTTATTATTAATTAATGTAATATATATCATATTAAAAATTGTTATTAAAGATATATGTATATAGCTATAGAAAATATTTAAAGAAATACAAGTAAAGTTAGATTTAAAAAATTAATTACTGTGTTACATTTATAATATTTTAGCCAATCAAAATCTCTTTTATAAAAGTGTATGTTTACATTAGCACGTGATAATCGCAATAACAAACGCGCTTTTGTTTATTTATTTCAAATAATTTTCGCTTAAATAGTCTGCCTTCTTTTGCTGCTTTAAAATCTTTACACATTTATTTCTAATAACTGATGACTGAACGACATCCAATAAACTATATTTTAACTGTTCTATCAATACCCTTCCAGCAAAAAGGATTATATAATAAAATAATGGAGTTGGGTTGGAATCATACTCACACTTTCCACAATCATATACACAATACTCCCACTTTCCATTCACCAAGTCAATATTAAAGAAAATAAATAAAGAAAGAATAAAGGAATTAGAAAAAAATTCCTGTTGCAAAAGAAGATGTTGCACAATATAACCTTGCGTTATCGTTCGAAAATGGTGAGGGAACATTGTATGAAGTGAGGATGTCGGACGATACTTTAATCGCTTGTCAGAGCAATTGTTGAAAAACGAATATGCGACGAAGGATTGTTGATGATGAAACAAAAACGTTTGGCAAGGACGAACGATATATTGAACAAGATCATATTCACTTGAAGAAGACTTTATCATGTAGTAGTTGACTTATTACCTTTATTACTCCCAACCACCTTTTGAAATCTCCATTTACCCATATTCCCCAAGTTATAGATATAACAATTTAAAGTCCATGTTTGACTTTTTTGTAAAATCCTCTTTTATTTTTTTGAAAATCTATTCTTTCATGTAGACAAAACTTTCGTTAATAAATTAATGCTTCTGAACAACATTTTTATTTTTTGAAATATAAATGAGCACATATTACTACCAGTGATGTGCACTTGGAAGATTGGAAGCACTCTTGGAAGGGTTGGAAGCATAATACTCTAATAAATTCATTTGGATTGGAAGCTTCCAATCAAATTTTATAAATTTTATACATTGGAAGCATAAAATGCACATCACTGACTACTACAATGGTCTTATTTACATCAACATTTCTATTCAAAATTTTTTTTTAAAACCAAAAATTAAATAAAAATAAAATTTTCAAATTATAAATTTTAACCTGATATGTAAACCTATTAAATTTTATAATTACCTTGTGAACAAATTCTTTAACGGAGACTGTTAAAAATTAAAAAAAAAAAAGATGATCTAATTTTAGAAATATTTTATTAAAACGTATTTTTGTAACACCAAAATTGAGTACAAATTTTTGAAGATTACAAAAAAAAAAATCCGACCTGATTTAATACATTAATTGTTCAGAATGGATTTATTATAATTGCTTTGTTCTGGTGGACTTGAAAGGTAGATTTTCGTTTCTTTTTGTTTTCATTTTCTCATATAATTAATTATACCTTTTTTTTATTATTACAATTTTTTTTTTTAATAAAATTGGAACTTATTTATTGTGGAATTGGTTTATAATGTAAACTAGGAAATGGTAGTTGTGAGTCTGGAGCTCGCAAAACATTTGCAGCACATGATCGACGCGTGAGTAGACAGAGAAACGAAATCGATTAGGGTTAAACTTAATTGTTCTCCGGATTGAAAGTGCTGGCAATCAATGAGAAGGTATGAAATAAAAACTATTTCTCATGATTTTTTTTTGATTTGTTGACATATATTTATTTAATTTCAAAACTTTATATAATTAAATAAATAATAACCATGCTAAAGTCAATTGGACGATTATACTTATATTATGGCTTTGAGATCAACCGGTTTTGCTTACAGTATAGTATTCCTCAAGAATTTTTAGATACAATTCTATCGTTCATAAATTGTAATACTATCTTAATAGATCTTATATTGGTGTCTCATCAACTGATTCTTCTGATGACTAACAGATTTCTTGGATAAACACTGTTATAATAGAAAATGGAAAACGACGAATGGAAACAACAAAAAATTCTTCTTTTCTTTCGTAACAATTAATGAATGGAAAACGGCAGAATTCTAATCAACAAATCTTCCTAAAAAATTCAAATAGCTAATAGTTCATACGAAATTATTGAATTCTTTTGACGACAAATCTAATTCACAATAGGACCTGGAGCTGTATAATTTTTTGAAAATTATATATAATCAACATTTTATTTGCTGATATTTCAAGAACTAAAAAGAACAATTGCTCTATAGAACAAGTTAAAATGTAAATTTTATTGGTGTAGCCAGTAAGATGCTATGGAAGAATTCAATTTGATGCGATGTTACAGCTCTTTTGAACATCTAAACTTATCGTAATTTCATACTTGGTAAGAATATTCAAAGTCACTATCAGAGATGATGAAAATTTAATATTCTATCGCGTCGAAAGTTTATTTATTAACTGTTGAGATTATCTAACGCTGGATATTTAGGCTGCAAAATTTATACCGGAATTTGGATTTTGGTGTAAAGTTGGTGACGCTTCATAAACGTGCACAGTTAGTGGATCTAATGTCGTATTTGTCAAAGACACTTCTATCATGATTCCTGAACTTATTCACGAATTATTTCAAAATGCTTTTGAAAAGGATGATACAGAACTTACAAAGAAGTATTTGTGTCAGAACCCCAAAACAGTTTTTTCTCCTGCCGAACCATTTCGATTCTGACAAATATTTGTTAAATGGATAATTGGGTTCAGATGATAAGCTTATGATACTGGAAATTATGACGTTCATCATGTAATTATTTCTGAAAGATATCAATATGTTAACTTTTGATTCTTAATCTGATTCAACACTTACCGCAGCCGATCAGAAAAATATTAGAAAGGTATTATTCTACGATGAATTATGAGAGCGTGCACGTAACTTCAGTTGCTACATACTCAATAACTATAGAAACGGAAAATTTCAAAGTTCTATCAATTGTATTGGCTAATAAAGATACATATGAAACTGCATATCAAGCAGGAATCTGAGCTTCATGTAGTTGAATTACTTGTACGATTGTGAAAGAACTGTGAATGATGATTATATGAAAACATAATCAAAATTTATTTTTGAGGATCAATCGCAAAAGGTATTAGATATTATTAAAATTTTCAATTTATTAAATTACAAATAACTATCCCGAAGGCGATATAATTTTTCAATCATCTTTATCTAGATCCCGCTAATCCTCAACATTAATACACAGGAATTCTTGTTCTTACAGTGCATATATCTATCAAGTGAAATTTAGATGAGAAGATTAGATGGTCTGAAATAATAAAATTAGTTGCATTAAAAATTTTAGACGATGGATTTTTAAGGGGAGTTGATGTAGTGATGTGTTTTATTCAGTTTGAGACGGTTCTGCAATTGATGCTGGTGTAACCATTGGATCAGAAAGCATTGGAACTTTAACTTTTACAATTGGAAGTCTTGGAACTCTGAATGGTAAATAAAAATATTTATATTCAGTATAATGTATAATGTTGTTCTGTTATCATAGGACATATAGCATCATTTCCACTAACACATCATTAACCATGGATGTCATAGAATTTGGACCTTCTGATAAGGAGAATTTTTACTATGTTACATGAGATTCTATGATCCACCTTATCGTGATAGTAATTTTGAAATTCTATTTGATTTATTTATTAATTAATGTGTGATGGTGTTTTCCGGTCATGAAGATATTGACATTTCCGGAGATTGGCTATTTAGATGGCTGAAGATGAAGTCATAATGATTCATTTATCATCTGGTAGAACATTTTTTTTTTTTCATTTATCTTGAAATTTATTGAGTGATTAATAATGATTATTTGTCAATTAATGCTAGTGTTCTGATACCTTCACTTCGAAATGCTTTCTGATATTTAAACACGCGTGACCGTAACCGTCTTCAACATCTTGCACCCAATACCAAAATCATAAATGTGTATAGAATAACAGAACAAAACGATAAGACCCACAAAGATGGCAAAGGTTATACAATACTGGTAATTAGACCAGACGGAAATGGTATAATAATATTTTTAATGACGTGGTTATAATCTTAAAAATTATAATTCCTTTTTTATTTTAATTTTTTTTTAAAAAACAATAACTTTGCCATAGAGATAAATATGCTTTGTCAGCTATCTGTATATATGGAAGGAAATGCACTGTTATATTTTATGAGTTCGAATGAAGAAGATGAAGCGGAAATTACGGTTTGCAAGCACAAAAATCATAGATTTATTAAACAAATAAGGGAGTGAAAATACCAAGTTGTAGCGTTATCAAATGGTAAGTTGCAAATCGATTATTAGCTTTAATTCTTTCAATATTACCTAAATGATAATTTGTTTTCGCATTAGTTCTTTTAAAATTCTCTTGAAAATAGATAATTTAATTGATACTGCCGAATTTACATCATAAAAACGAATTCGAACGTCCAATTCAGATATTTGGGCTCAACTTTTTCAAACGTATACTGTTGTGAAAATTTCTTTGGTCTTGGTAGCCATTCATTTAAGTGACAAGATTAATTTTTGAACTAAGGATGACTTGTGGATTTTAACATATTTCTTGGAATTGTCTTTGCGTAATGTGCCTTGGTGAGAACTTGTATATTTTTCTTATATGGATTTGACTTAAATTTTAACTTATGCTATATAGGTCTATTGAATTTATCTTTTTCTAAATCCTAGAGTCCTTGGCGTTAAACTTGACTCATCGCACTCACACCAAATAAACCTTTCAATTTTGTTAGTTCAACTTCTGCATGAACATTAAACCGATTTAAGAGATTCTACCAAGAAAGGATTAGAAATAAGAGTTTATGAATTGAAAGCTTTTTTTTTATTTTGATAATAAACACTTGGTCTCAATATGACATTTTATGTCTTCAAAATACAAGATACTTATATAAAAGGTACATATTAATTATTAAGATAAATGTTCTAATTTGTCATAATAGTAACCAGAATTTTTTTTTCTTAAAAATGTTTGAAGCAAATTAATTTGAAAGATTTCGGATTTAGGCTTCCTTTGAAATAAACATTGAAGGTGTCATCATTCTCAACTACCGAATCGATGAAGATATGTTATAACTTCCTAATGCATCAGGAGTCTAGGATTTTTTCTAACCTGTTAAAATATGCAGTATTACCTTTACATCTTTGCGGATATATCAAAACAGACTATATGAGAATCTATTTTGAGGTGAGCGTCCTGATTTTTTGTAACCATATACCCAGTGTAATCATTTATTCATATAGTTTCAAGGCCTTTACATTTTTTTCTTTCTGTTATAATAGATTTGAGATGCTCATCAAATCTATGTCATTCATCACTAGACATTCCTGTTTCATTTATGACAATAAGTTTTTGAACTTGAATACCGCTATTAAAATATCCAAAGATCCTAAGACTTTATCCCAATAATCAGTAATAATATTTTTTTCTGCATTGTTAAAACATAGATTTTAAGACAAGAATTAAGCGAAGTTCCTTTTCTGGTTTCTGCACAAAAATGCCTACCAATTCCAAAGATACTCATGAAGCTTCAACATGGAT